ACTTCCTGTTCTCTCTGCCACTGCTAAGTTTTATTAAATAATATTGCTCCCAGTTCTTATAAAATGTCTCAATCCAGTGTTGTAGAGTACAGGAGAGGATGAGGTGTTTTGTAGTCCTGTTCTGTAGTCCTCTCCTAGGGTGGCAATGCTGCTCCTTTATAGATACAGTGAGGTAAGCGAGTATTGTCAAACTAGCACAGGAAGTGGCAAGATCAATAGATGAAAATAAAGGTATAAAGCCTTGAAAAAAAAGGCAAAGCAGGCATTACATCTACGTTATTGGGTTCAGATACGCTTTAATCACTATAAATGCATCTGGTGTACATTTGGGCTAACAGACATATATGGCTTCAGTAATTGAGAAAGCTTTGTGTAACATCAAAATTAGGACTGATGGTGAAAGTGACATGAGTTCAATTTTACAATTAAATAGAAGTGATTAGTCTTCAATACACATTATATTGCAAACCTGAAAACTGAGCTACGTTATAGAACTGACCTAAATGCACTTAATTAGCTGCACACTACATTGGTTTCTGTTACAGGTCTCTACTTCTGTTTGGTAGCAATGAGAGAAATTGAAAGTTACCATATCATGCATGCAGCATAACTGGTATGTTAATAAAGTAAATTAAATACTTCTTAGTTTTCAGTCAGCTTGCATTGTTTTCAATCATTCGGATGATTCATAGATCTGCATTGTAAGAAGGAATAGTGACACTAAACTATTGTGAAGCACTGCAAGACAGGAGACAAGAGCCTGCATATGTAAAAAGAAAATATGGCTGCCATCATGTAAATACACAATTGCAATCTATAGACAGGAACATGAGTTTTTCAAACCCCCCAGCTCTACGATGTCATTGCTCCTCTTTGCCGTTGGTGCCTTCATCTTCTTCAACCCTTATTCTGGACTTGGAGTCTATGGCCTCTTGATTGGCCATGCCACAATGACCTAGCTCCCATGCATGTGCCCAGGAGATACTTCATCTTGGCACAAGGCTGTGCCAAGCCGATACACTGAGCTGCATATGCTTGGCTAAATGTATACGACCGGTGACAGGCAGGGAGACTCACTTATGCTTAAAATAGAAAAAGTATATCCAGAGACCAAGCCCTTTTAAGTATTAACCAGTTTTAAATAAACGCAGATTATGGCACTCAACGACCTTTAACTGTATATAGTACACTAGAAAAAAGGATGACACTGATCAAAAGAAGATCAGATCAGAGGACAGTTATAAAAGGGGCCGGAGTGTCTGCTGTGATAGAAACATATAAATCTTTATTATACATAATTTATACATAGGTCATCAACATGAACCATCAAAACCATCACCTGAATACCCCTTTTAAAAATGATTGTACAACCACGATTTCACTCGCTTCATGCACACACTATAGGACGAACTGATCAGTTTCAAAGTATGAGCCGGTGGAGCTTTTGATGTCAAGTATTTAACTGACAGGGTTTCTTATGCGCTTAAAGACATTGTTGCAATCATTGCTAGAATAAACACAAAGTAATTTTCTAATTAGACTTGTATTGCTTGTAAAGTTTCTTCAGTGGCTGGTGTGCCTGGTGGAGAGTTTTGAGTAACAGGGTGAAACAATTAGCAATTGTGTTATAAAGGAACCCTTATGTAATCCCGCAAATGGTGGGTTTCACATAGGAGATATTTTTAGTAATCCTTGTTATAAATAGATGCTGTATATCATCTTAGTTAACCACCTGGAGTTATAACACAGTCCCGTAAATCCCACAGAGGTTTTTGAACCTCTTCGTAATTAGAGGCATAAGGTTCACACTAGCAAGTCCTCAGAACTAAGGTGAATGGCGCCACTAGACAAAGGTACTCACTGTTTTGGTCTAGAGCTCTAGATTGTCCACAGAGATTTCACCCCGGGTGGTCTTCAATTTGTATGTTTGTTGAAAGTTGACAAAGGGCTTTCTGCTTTTTCACTTTGGGGTCCCAATACTGCAGTATATCAAGCTGCTTGTTGGTTAATTCCTTTGTGATAGATTGCAGTTAGCGATTTATCAGCTCCTAGCACCGGAGTTTCCCACCCGGCATGCAGGTGTAGTGTCAGTCAATCGTAGAGTATCATTGACGCGTTTCGCCCCGCCTACTTTCCCAGGGCTTCGTCAGAATGTCGACGAACCTCCTGCTGGTTACCTATATGCTGTGATTGCTGTGTTGGACAGCTAGAGATTTCGGTGAGTGCATAGTCACTGGGGGGATGTGCTGGAACTCACGGGGGAAACACCTGCTTTGTGTTTTTAAGACAATTTGATACAGACATTTTTTCACTTTAGCACAGATAAAAGTTTATATACTTGTTTCACGCTTATGGATTGGACCTATTTTGTCTAATGGGCTAATCGAGCACTTAATCACTTTATTGTTTTTTTTATCACTGGATACAATTGTTACACTTTTATTGGATGTGTAGCTTTTGATTACTTTATACATTGTAATATTTATTGTTATTTTATTCACTGCATGCACTTTTCATTAGAGGATGTGTAGCACTATACCATTGTCTTGAAACAAACAACACTGACTTGACAAAAGTGAAGCAAAGAAAGGTCATTCATATGCAAACTTTGTCTCTCCTGCCTGTCCAAGGTTAAACAGGCAGCACTGTGGCTTAGTGGTTAGCACTTCTTTCTTGAAGAAACATTTGAAGTTCTTGCATTTCCGCCCTAATGTCTCTCCCGGTCCCTGGCTGCCAGTATCACAGGTTATGTGGCTGTGATGGGCTGGAGGGTGAAAGGGGGGGTTTACAGGGCAGCATGGCATTGTAAAGTAGGCACAGTGCTGGGAGGAGGCAAAGACTGGATAGCACTGTGGTGCATCAAAGCACTGCCATCTGTAGAGAGGCAGAGACAGGATGCTGCTAATGGGCATCAACACACTGCCAACCTAGGGGAGACAGATACTGAGTGGCACTACTGGGTAAAATTGCATACACTCTAGAGCTATGGGCATGCCCCTCGCTTGGGACTTTTCTCTTCAGAAAATGTGTTGTATTCTTTTCAATAAATACAAGGTGGTCTCTGATTAGATGAGGTGGAAAGGCGAGGCCAATGACCTCAAAATCTACCCTCATTCAGAGCATGCCTTGTATTCATTGAAAGGGATATAACACATGTTCTGAATGGAGGGGGAGCTAGTGACTCCCTGAGAGGAAATTTCTTTAGCACTACCAGAACAGCACAGGCTACTAGGGTGATTTTGAGACTACCAGGCAGCCTTCCGGATGTGGCATATCGATAATTATGGGTAACCAAGCTGGCTCAATGTAAATGTCAAAAATAGACTATTTGTAGAGTTCTGTTTAAAAGAATGCTGAGATTGGCAGGGCACTGATTACTAGAATAAAGGCACATACGGTTAGCTATACTATGGTCTCTAAAGATTTATAGAAAGTATGTTTTCTCACTTGTTAGCAATAAATAGCCAGCAGCTCTTCAAATTAGCCCAATTCTTTTCAAAACGACCATACTTGACAATCCTGCCTGCAGCATGCACATTGGGGCTACATACAATGACTTGTTTTCTAGGCACAGTCACCTCCAATGTGTCCGATGTGAAATAAAGTAAGGATGGGCTGCATGTTCGAGTCGACCATAGGTTCAACTCGAACATTGCATGTTCTAGCATTGAAAATGAAAATAATAACAAACAGGGTTATTCACAAAAGGGTGAAGAATTTGGAGAAGGCAGGAGAAGTGAACAATCTAGGACGACATAGCTGAACCAGAAAGTGAGCTGAAATGGAGAATTTTTCGAAATCAGCTATTCTGGCCTAGATTGTTCACTTCTCCTGCCTGCTCCAAACTCTTCACCCTTTGGTGAAAAACACGGATAGCCTTTTCTATTTTTAAAGCATATGTGCGGCCAGGCTATGGACATTCAAGTATTTCCATATTCTCACCAAGCAGTAATTGAGCTTTTAAACAAGATGACCTCTATAGCTGCTGGTGCAGTGCTGCAATTCATCCTCAAGGTTCACAGCAGAAACACTGAAATCCTTGTCTAATGTAGGGTACATAAGGTATGAATGTTGTCAGTTTCCTTATGAACCAGCCAAAATTCACACAGTGGGTGCTGCTGTTGGCAACCTTCCATCTGCCATCCCTCAATCATCTGATTGAAAATTATTGGCCAAGTGGAGCTGCTAGCTCAGTTTGTGTACTCTGACAGTGGCTGCTGGCTGCAAACAGTGGAGATTTGTCCAGCAATACTAGTAAATGTTGATGGAGGAATCTGTTCTATTTTTTTCATTCTGCCCACTATTTGAATGAAAAGAATAGAAACAAGTGTACCTGCTTAAACCAGCTCAGCACTCCCCTGCTTCTTCTTCTAGCACTAACTCAGCAGTCTTCTAACCTCTTTTGTAAACACAGAGCAGGAGCTCTGGGAGGAATGAGAAGGGTAAGCAGAACTGCTGAAAGATAACTTCACTGTTTCTGACGTAAACTTTGAGTATACTTTGCTCCACAACATTTTCAGCTATACAGGTAAGTGAGGACTTGTTTTAAAAATCATTTATAGGGTTATTCTTAAAAGGGTGAAGGGTTTGGAGAAGGCAGGAGAAGTGAACAATCTGGGACAACATAGCTGAACCGGAAAGTGAGCTGAGTTTAGAGAATTTTTCCAAATCAGCTAAGTTGTTCTAGATTGTTCACTTCTCCTGCCTTCTCCAAACTCTTCTACCTTTTGTGAAAAACCCTGTCAATGTGTTTTGCTAATATGTAAACATTTATATGTCCATAACCAGGAGGCAGGTTAATTTTAATAATCCAGATCAATAATGATATGGTCACTAGCAGTAAACAAGTTTCAAACATCGGTGTAAGATGAATGTACTTTATCTAAATATAGTTTTATGTTGACTATAACCAAAGTAGATCACAGTTTATCTGGTATTATTAAAATGTCTTGTAATTTTGATAAACAGTTAGCATTATTGTTTTCTTTTCTTATTTACAGGTTACACGATAGTGTCTGGAGTATATGCAGCGAACACCCAGAGGGTACAAATGCTGTGACAGGCCAAAGTTCTACAATGGCATACTGTATAACCCCATGCAAAGTATCTTCGTTCCAAAGCGTGGATATATTTGGATAGTAGTCCAAACTGACATTAAAGAGGAGGACAATAATAATGTACAAAGTAAAACAAAGGACCAACGTGATGCCATTTAAAGAGAGCAAGAAATCTGCAACAACCCCTGTAGACTGAATAGTTGCAAAATGGAATACATGAATCCATTTCGAAACATGTTGGACGACTCTGAAATAAAATATGCGTATTACAAGAGACAGTTTGTGTGCAGTATACCAACACCCAATTTAACTGTAATTTAACTACTTTATTTGATCTTTGATATTTTATTCTTTCCAAGAAGCTATTTAGTTCTCTTTCACCATGTCTACAGTTTATGACTTGGAAATGTGACTTTTTACCCTCCTGTTAAGTGAACGCTGAAGAAAATGCAGTTTCTTATATGGTAATTTGCAGTTCTATTATTGTGAAAGTGAATAACAGCGAGTGATTGGCAAAGCAAGCCAGGCCGAACTTATCACATGCCACATATATATTTTAGGTCAGTGCGTTTATATGGTATGGATTTCAGGATGTGCATATTCTTGATACATGTCATGATTTTAAGGAAGAGCGTGTCATACATGTAAAATGTTTTGGCCAATAGCAATATTATCTTTCCATATCAATGTCCTTAAATCCAAAGTGCTAAATATACAGTCTCAGACTATAGCATGGAGGTTTATTATTCTTTTTTATATACAAGTGTAACATGTTTCATTGGTAATGTCATAAACTGGGTCATAGGTTGTGTTTTACAAAAGCAAAGACAATGTGTTTTTTTTTTGCCTTACTGCATTAGTTCAATTACTTAGATGCATATGAAAATGGAAGCAAAATACCTAGAAATTCTACCTATATTATTTAATAGACAAGCATCTTAAATATAGACTCTTAATCAATAGGTAAAACTATGTAAATGACCACTAAATCTAAAACACAAATGTGCACAGACAGTTGCATTATGGGAAAGAGTTATGATAACATTCATCCAAATAAGTTACATAAAAGATGTATTATCATACACAAAATAAGAATACTTGAAAATTATATCAATGGCCGCACAGCATAAGACTTTGAGCATCCTTTGTTTTCATGCACCTGATATGTATTTAGCTGATTCAAACTGAAAGTCCACTTAGGACCCTTTCACACAAGCAGCCAAATCATGTCCGCCTGTCAGTTTTTCAGGCTGACCCAAATGGATGCCCAATGTAAATCTATGGGCAGTCAGATCTAAAAGATGGGTGTCCGTTTACATTCGGTTGCCCCCAGCTCTGGCCAGGTTCACAAAAGAAACAGATTACCCCGGGGGATCGGGGGATATTCTAAAGTAAATGAACATATGTCCAACTACATCTGATTCCCCAAAGACATAGGGTCCAGTCCTTTCAGTTTTGGATGGACAGGACGGAATGGACACGGATGTCACAGCAGTGACTTCCAATCCATACCGCTTTGATCAGCAGGGGATCCGTGCATGGATCCCCTCCTAATCAGAGAGTGTGAATGGGGCCTTAGGCTTTAAATAATAATTAGCGATATGATTGAATCAATAGGGTTGATTTTCTAAATGACTAGTGAATGTTCACTTAGTTTAGTGAATAACTTAAAGCCATGTTTACTTTAATTGTACAATAACCTGTAATTTGCATTTGTTTTAGACTTGCACATGATTGGATATTTAAAGTGACATTGTTTAATTTTATTCACTAAGCTTAATAAACATTAACTTTGCTAAGTGAACAGTCTCTTCTTCTGTAGTATACCAACTCCAATGAGTCTACCTGTTTGAAATTGTCTGTCTGTACATGATCACATCAGGTTTTATATCTGCCTTGCCTTACGGAACATTTAATAGTTCATGGCCACAGCTGGGACTAAAATAGTCATTTTTACATTTTATAACAAATGTTTCAACTGCAGGCTGCATGGACCGAGGACTTGACCAGCAGCATTAATTGCCCATTTGCTAGAAATTACTTAGGTATCATTATTGCATTGACCATAGGGTGCAAGGATCAGTTTGCTTTTGCCTGTGTTCATGACTAAGCCGTCATGGTCCGCTAAGTGCACTGCAGGACAATGCACTATATACTTTCAAAGCTACACATAACAAGGTAAAGAAATCTTGAAGCTAAATCTTTTTCTCTGTCATAGTCAAACCAACATGAAAAGACTTATATTTACAGCACCTGCTCAACAATATTTTCAACTGTCTGGGTGAAAGAGTGAATTTTTCCAAAGACATTGTAAAAAAGAAATATGTACAAAAGATTTTGTGCTTGTGTTCTTTGCTTTAATTGCTTCTGGCTGTGAATGTAGATGCCGTATTGGTGCTAGCTCTTAACTGGGCAGTAAACAAGTTGTGTCACAGGAGGAGTTTTCATCTTGGCCAAATTGCTTCTCTACCTTTAAATGACAGCAATTAGCATATGCACATAACATTAGATTCCTGCTCTTCACATGACACATGCAGGGTAATGCAACTGGCAGACAGCATCCTATTACTTTGTAGCACACTTATTCACTTACTCTCCAAAACAACTTGATTTCCCGCAGTGTAATAAAATCAGGTTTAAATGCCATTAAGAATACATTATCTGCCTGTTTTATAGCTTATATGCGTAAAATGAATTTAAAAAAAATTGGGAAAATCAACAACTTAAAAGTAAGTTTGATTTTTTTTATTATCGAGAAAACATCCCTGTGCAGGTTCTCAGCAAAGGGCAGGCAAAAAAATAAGCTGCAACCATTTTTCATGTACAGTTCTATGCTGCATAATCCCTAACAGCATTCATCTTTTATTGACACTCCATGGATGGGTAGATCTGTGACAATTCTTCTATCCAAGTAACAAAAGTTATTTTATTGAACAAATTAATTCATTATTCATTATTGGTTTAAAGAAAAAAAAAAGAATTTTAACATTATTACATAAAACATTCTGAAGCTCTAATTTAGTGAGAATTTTTAATGTGACTTTTAGTCAAAGTGTGCTTAATCATTTTATTTTTAGATGCTGTATTTGCTGGCCAAATCATGATAATCACTGCATTGTTTGTCTGAATATGTCATATTTCAGAAGAAAAATGTTGCGAATACAACATACCACATAAATGTGTCCAAACTATCAATACTGCCAATGTGTAATATGGTGATACCTGTTAATATTGAATGATCCTCCAAGAAATTTTGAAGCACCTAGATCCTGAGTACTTACTATAAACAGAGGTGTTTGCTAAAGAGGTAGATTGATTGCTTAGTTCACTATAGCTGCGTCACTTCAATCATTTAATCTTATGCAAGTGTAATTTCTATCATTTAATTTTTTTTTCCTTGTACATAATTGGTTACTTGAAGTGAAGACAAGTTCACTAAGTTAAGTGATTTTCTACTCATTCAGAAAATCAACCACTAAACCATGACTTATGCCAGACTTGGAGCTAACCCCCCAACATTCAAATGCCTTTAAACGAATTATGTCTAAAACCACCCCCACACTCCAAAGCTAAACTACACTAAGCTTCCTCCAGCTGCTTACCAATCTTAATATCAGAGCTATGAATTCCTTTGGAATTTCCAATCTAACAGATATAACTTGTTTTCAGCACTGGCCATGATTGCACACTGTGTCCTCAACTGTCCTTTCACAGGCCAAAAACAGGGTCTCAGTAGCCAGTACTGGCAGTATTGTTAGCTTGAATTTTTTTAAGAAGGTGATTTTTAGGCCTCATTCACATGAGAAAAAGCCGTGCACTGCCGTATCAGGCAGCTCCCGCGAAGGACAGGTCCTGCGTGTGATTAGTACGCAGCCCCTGTCCTTCTCCATGGGAGTACACGGCCATACGCCTCCCTACGATCACTCACTCATCCTGTTTGTGTCCGAGCCGGGACACCCGCACTCATACGGACCTGCACTTTGGGTGAGCATAGGGCGGCGTATGGCCGCGTGCTCCCATAGAGAAGGACAGGGGCTGCGTACCTTTTCTCATGTAAATTAGGCCTTAAAGGAATATATTTATGCTGGCTAGTATGCATCTGTATTTATTTTAAACACTTAGTCATTCTCTCACTTAGAATAAAGCTGAGTATGTTTAGCATCAGTGAAATAGCAAACTTTTGGCAGATTTAAGAGAATAGCCACTGCCATGGAAAAATTAGGTTTGCTTATCCTACATATTCATGGTCATTGTACAAGTATGCTGTATTTGTATGAAAAATACTCTTTGAGTAAAATCTGAATAGATGCATTTTGCTTTTTAACTGGCCAAAGGGAAGAGAGGAATTGATGCTTACTTTCTAGATTCTGGAGCCATTTCAAATGCTGATTAAATCAATTGCAAAAGATGCTGCTCCTTGGGTTTTAAAAGCTTTAGCTTCCTGCAGAATTAGCTGGTCCCCTGCACACTGGCCCTGATATCCCGTTTTAGGGTGTCTCCTTTCCCTTGCAAGGTTGCTATGGAGCCACCCTTATGTGTGCTAGTAAGCTGTGTGCCTCCACAAACACCCAGGCATGTAAGGGCAATCCACTCCTTCTTTCTCCAAACTAGTAGCTGGATAGCTGCTGGAGATTGTGCTGTCCTTTGTAATCTTCTACTCAACAGGAAGTTCAGAGCAGAAGAGCCTGGGCAAACATTTAAAGAAATTATTTGCTGGGAAATGTATATTTTTTTACCCAGATTTATTATTAAAAAAGGTTTGAGATTTTAATATTACTTTAGGGAAAGGGGCTCGGTGACAACTGGGGGCTTCCAAAGAGGCTGTAATTATAAGGGATTCTTTTCTCCTTCTGAACACATTTTCACCTTTTGTAGGAGGTGTTCTGCATACTGTTTTTGTAGAACAAGAAAAGGCAAATCTGTTTAAAATCATCTTTAGTTTGATGGATCTTGTTATTGTGGTTACCAGTAGATTTGGTAAAGCAGCAGTCTCATAGTGAAATTGTTGTTGCTCTTCAACTCCCAAATCTCATTGATATGGCTTGGAAAATTAGTTTGCATTACAGGAAATCTCATTAAGCATTTTGAAACAACTAATTATGAAATGACAGACTGACCTTAAAATACATTTTGGAAGGAAGTTATTGTTTTACCACTGATGAGAGCTTTCTTTTCTGTATACTCTTTGCGTAACTGGAAGTATAATTGAATAATCACCAAATTGTTACTTGTGCTAGTGGCTTAGTTTCAACAAAGATTGCATCCAAGTTCAAAGAAAGTTAACAAAGCATTTTTGCACATCCTTGAATGATGCAGAAACTTACATGTATTGTCTGGTACATACAACAATGTATTATTGAACATGTGTTATGAATATTTGTTATCATTATTGTGGGCTATACATGCTGTTCTGGCACATTAAAAATTATTTTCTTAGAGAAAATAATAAGATATGTACAATCAAGAATTCTTCTTCTAATGAGTTTGTTTTCGGTGGAGGTTTGTGGCAAACTATATGTAAACCGACACTTACCTTCAGGGCCGGTGCTAGATTTCCTGCCTACACAGGCAAGGTGCATTTTTGCGCCCCCCCCTCCCCGAACCGCTGCTCTCCAGCACCAAAGGTAAGTGAAAAAAAAACAAAAACATAGCGCAAACATCGGGCCATTTTGACAAGTACTTGTCAAAATGCCCTGTTTTTTCCGCCCTCACCCTGCAGCGCCGTAAGGTGGCCGCCTGACTTGCCTTGCGGTAGCGCCGGGCCTGCTTACCTTTGCATCTCCCAGTGTTTTCAAGCACCATTAAGTTTCTCCAGACATTCCATCCTCTTCCTGCACATGTTCTGCTATCA